ACAGGAAGCACTGGTGGCTGAGGAGTGCTGGTCCCCCATCATGTCACCTTCCAGGAGGAGACATGTACCCAGGGGCTCTGCAGGTTGCTACAAGACCTGACTACTTCCTTGTTAACAGTGGTGCTAAAATCTGCTTCAATTCCTATATTTTATTTTATTTATTTATTTATTGTATTTTAGGGAAGGATCTATGGGGTGTTCAGGGTCTCACTTCTAGTTCTGACTCATAGTGATCCACTTGTTTACAGCCTCCCAAGAGTTGGGATTACAGGCCTGTGTCACAACACCCAGTCTCAATGACTGAGCATGCCCCAAGGGTGGGGGCAAAGGCAGGGGCAGGACTGGCACAGCAGCCCCAGGATCAAACCCCTGGCCACTGCACCTGCTTGCAGGAGCTTTAATCCGCCTAGCTATAGGGCCAGTCCAATTCCTACATTTTAAATGTGTGAGACAAATAGTTTCCGTTACAAACAGTCTTCAACTGGGACTCTAGCTTCTGGTGTCCTGGTGTCCTGCATGTCAAGCTGAGATACAATAATCCCTCCACCATCCATTGTTCAGCCACTGCAGCCCCCTGGCCTGTCTGCAGGGTTGGTAGTTATGATGGCAAGGCTTTGTGCTGCTTAATACATAAAATCCTGAGCCAACCAAGAAGCATAAGGAACACTGATTAAAAAAAATTCCAATTAGCTAATAGCAAATTTGCCCCCAAAATTTCTGTTCAGCTCTCCAAGGTCACTCATATAATCAAAATTTTTGAACCACAGATTACTGATTCTCTGATACTTTTAGGTGTTAAAAAAATGAAAAATATGTGCAATGTAGCTTTTCTTCATATATTAAGAATAAAAATAACCTCAATTATATGATACTGTATATGATGATGTACTGTACTTAAAAATATCTGCCTGGAGTATTCTTTTCTACCTTATCATTTGGAAATAAAGTTTAAAAAGTTCAGGGCCCAGGAGATGACTCAGTAGAATAAGCACTTCCCTGGCAAGCGCAACAGCCTGAGTTCAATCCCTGGTTCCACAAAAAAAAAAAAAAGTTTAAAACGTTCACAGGAAGGAAGGAGCAAGGAAAAGAAGAAGGAAAGAAGAAAAAAGAAAGGGAAGAGAAGGAAGGAAAGGGAAAGAAGAAAGAAAGAGTAAAAAAGAGAAAGAAGAAAGAAAGAAAGGAAGAAAGAGAGAGAGAGAGAGAGAGAGAGAGAGAGAGAGAGAGAGAGAGAAATCTAGCTTCTTTTAGCTCCAAATGCACAATCTCAAGCAGAAGGTCATTTTTATTACAACATACATTATTAAATTTTAAACTATCTCATAGTATATATGAGTGTAAAGAAACAAAACTGGTAATTGATCATTCTTGAATTTGGAGACAAATAATGTTGTTTATTGATTGCATAACTAATTTAAAGTAAATTGAACACACATCCTTGTTATAGGGGAAAGAAAAGTCTTTTTTCATTCATCATGAATATTAATAAGGTTAAAATTAATCTTATAATATTACCATTAATAATTCAGTGAACTAAAGCTAGGGTTTACTTGAAATCACTTCTTACCATATCTTGGATTAAAATAAGGAAACAGAAGTTCACAAGACTTTGGTCCTAGCCTTTGGTTGTGGGGCCCCATGGAGGAGGAAAACTGCACTTCAGTATGATGGGATGCACTCTGGAACCGAACCAAGAGGAAACCTCAAGCCAATGAGTCATGCAGCACTCCAGCTTTCCAGAAAATTCTTTCCATAACATTATCCAATTCTTTCCAGAAAATTCTCCATGTTTTCAGTCAGAAATTATAGCTTTTAGTATTCACCTATACAAAAATGTTCTTTGGCTTTTTTCCCTTTTTTCATATTTTTGACTTATTTTTAACTGGAATGGCTCTAGAAGGTACGGAGCCTGAGGAGAAATGATATTATCCAGACTTAGAGGCAGATTTTCAGCAAAGAGCCATCCACCCCCCAAGGGCCCCTGCTGAGCCATGGCCCTGGAGCGCTTGGTCCTGGTTGTGAGTCACCTGGGGCCCAGCCTGTGGACCCTGACACAGTGTCCTATACAGGCAGGAAGGAGCCACACCTGGGAGAGACTGTGCGTGGACAGGAAAGGCAGCCATCAGGGGCCCCTCCCTGGTCTGCAGAGTCAGATGTGGTGTTCTGTTCTGCAAAGCGCTCTGGGAAAAAAATGGCAAATCACCACATGATGATGCTAAATGAGGAAAGCCATTTCCCAGAGCTTGCGTGGTCTCTAATTGCATCAAAAGACCATTCTTTAAATGTCAAAAAGATAGAAATACAGTGGCTGCCTAGGGTCCAGAGCAGAGGAAGATTAAGGAGGAGAGTGGTGTAATTGCAGAAGGGCTATCTGGGGAACTGGGGAGGTAGCTTGGGGGTCTAAGTGCCTACCTGGCAAGCATAAGGACCTGAGTTTGATTCCCGGTACGGCATACTGTGCAGACCCTATGAGTCTGAACTGCATAGCAAGATCCTATATCAGATTAATTAATCAATTAATTAATTAATAAAAAAATTTAAAGGGTTGTGTAGTATCCTCACGGTGACTGGTATTCCCTGCATTGTGGTAAAGATGGATACTCAGACCCATGCATGTGACACAATTTCAGGGAACTAGACACACACTCTGTTGATATATACTGTGTTCATCAGTTTCTCATCTGTGGAGCAAAACAGGACAAGGGAGGAGCCAGAGTCACGCCCCCTATGAGGTCACACTGCCATGATGGAAGGATCTCTCACAGGTCCCAGGGACTGGAGTTCCCCAGCACCTCCCAGGAGCACCACTGAGGACTTGCAGGACCTTTACCTTCACACTGTAGCCCACGGGCCCCAGATAGTCCACACCAAACTGGATGGCACAGACCTCATGGGCTCAATCAGGGTCATTCTAGGTGTCTTCATGCATGACCATTTGGCAAGATGTCACCACCGAGGGCCACTTGGGGATCTGTATCCTTTTTCCCAACTGCATAGGGACCTACAATGATCTCAAAACAAGAATTCTAAAACAAAAAGCTCTGCAACCTCATTTCAGACAATGCTCCATGCTTGGGAAAGGCCTGCCTCTGTTTATAAGGCTGAGGAAAGGGAGAGGACATCCCCAGATACCTTAGCTGGATGGAAGGAAGGCTGAACCCTGAGACTGAGCTCTTGCCTGGCTGGTGGTGTATCTTATAGCCCTGCAGTCTGCTAAACACTCCACTCAGAGCACATACTGGGCGCCCCCAAGATTATAAAGCTGAGGTGTCAGCTAGCTGGAAGCTCTGCATTCACCCCCACCCAGAGTAGCTAGAAGAAGGTGACCCCTTGTATAACTACATCACTGACAGGCACACTGGGTCCAAGGTTCCGTAGCTCTCTGCCCAGTGAAAGCCACATATATGTGGCCATGTCTGTGATGCATGCTGGGAAGGAGAAGCTGTGTCTGGGACACACAATTGGGAAAGAGCTGCCAGATGTTTGTAAGGCGTTAAGCCCACAACCACCGCTCAGTACTTCTAGATCACATCTCAGAAATGACTCCTGTGACAGGCCGCTCCTAGCAGGGGCAGGATTGTCCATGGCAACTGCTCAAACCAACACGCTCCAAGAGGTGAGGGGGCTCTGCGGGTGTGAGGTGGACTTGGCTCCCTGGGACCCAACCGGAGCAAAGGCACAGTCACCCGAGGGTGGCAAAACATACATTGCACCTCATAGGGGCAATGAGGAGCCTCACAGAGACAATGAAAGGGCACTTGTTGACTCCCTGCACTATGACCGTGTGTGTGAAGAAAGCCCACTCCAGTGAACCTGTCATTTCACCCACAAAATTCTGTTTCGTAGATGCTCACTTTAATGAAACTTGCATCTTTCTCCAAACAACTCTCAAATAACCAGTGCAGGAGCCACCCTCCCAGGGTGGGCCTGTGACCCCCAGGTCTCCCCGCTGCCACCTCTGCAAACAGCATGGAGTAGAAAATAGAATTTTCCTGAACAGTGAAGGACCATGGGATGGATCTGTGGAGTCTTATAAGAAGTTTACAGGATTACCGGAAGTATGAGATGTTGTATAAGTCAAATTATTGCCATTTTATGACAGCAAAATATTATATTTTAACAAAGTGTTGGTGGTACAGCCAATAGAGCAGCTTTGATCATTCGCATCCAATCCTACTAATACATTCTCAATCACTTTTTGCTTTATATTGTTTCATTTATAAAATTTATTTAAATATATATATAGCACTCTTCCTGTAACAAAAATCAATGTGCATTTTCATAAAGATGCTACTCTGAACACCATCTAAACTATTCTTTATCAATTTAGTAAGTAGTCTCAAGGTACTGTGCCTATTCTACAAGTCTTAACCATAAAAATGTATACATAAGCCCATTGCAAACACTATATTTGGAAACTGCCTTATACTTGTAACAAATAAAAGTGTAAAGTATTACTTAAAATGTTGTCTTTTATCTTCCTTTTAAATTAGGATATAACACACTCTTATAAAAATCTCTTAGGTGAAAATGACCAAAGCTTATTTACTGTCTTTTGAACCACGAAGGACAAAAATAAAACGTATATGACACCTCCTGATGATATTAGCTTGAACAGATGCCTTTCTTGTGTCTCCAATCAGCCTATTTCACAGTCTTGATGCTTTTTATTTCGAGTCAATCACAAAAATAACTCTTTCCCTACATTCCAGAAGAATATGCTTACAGTTTTGTGTAACTTTTGCATGACAACAGTAATTGAATTCGTTTTCCAAAGCGTTGTTCTGGAGGGAAGCGTTTATCAGAAATCAGCTGTCACTCTCAGGGTCCCCTCGCCCTGCTGGTCTCCCTTCTGTCCCACCACTCGGCATCAGTCTCACAGCCCTGCTCACTCTGAGTGCATTACAGACCAGCCCTCCTCCTGGTAACCACATCCCTCGTGTGGGAGTTTGGTTTAATGGGGACTATCAACCTCACTATCCTGCCTGTTTATTCTTTTCTAGAGTGACCACATCTGGCGGAAGAAAGAAAAAATGTAGTTATTGAATCCAATCCAGTGTTTGCATCTCTCACATTATCAACAAAAGTAGTCAAGAAGGTTCCGGTCAGCCCTAAGAACACATGGATATAGAAGGAGCCACATGAAGGTAAGGAGTCTCTTGTCTTTTCCTGCTTTACCTGTAGACAAATATATATTTATCTCGACCTTGCTACTTGGCAGGAGCATAAAAATAGACTTTTGAATGACAGGGCTCTGATTTACTAGTAGGTGCCACATCCCCGAATTTTGGTGATAAACCTAGTAGACGTCAGACTGTCTTCACTGCTGGAGTTGGCATCCAGGAGCCTTCTGACTGAACCCTGACATGACCCAAGATAACTCCATGGCTACTGCCAGACTGGCGCACCCTTGACACACAGCAGGAGGTCCTTCAGGAAGGTGTCTAAGAGTCAGGCCTCTGTTTAGATCTTTATAAGAGTCAATCCTGCTTCCACTCTGAGCTCTACTTCGGGTCTTTTCTACTTAGGGGAATTAAGCAGGTCTGTGACAAAAGCCCCCTTTGTGGGGTGAGGCTCTCATGAGCTGGTGTCCACCACTACTGGCAGACCTCCTCGATGCCACTGTACTTGTGGTAAAACACACAGAACATAAACTCTGCCACTTTGCCATTTTTAAATATACAGCTAGTGGCATTAAACACTTTCACGTAGTATGTAATCATCAACACTGATTTCCAGAAATTCTCTCATCTTCCAAAACCTCACCTCTCATCCATTTATCAGCAACTCGGCACCATCCCCCATCCAGCCCCTGGCAGCCACTGCTCTCCTTTCTAACCGAGTGGATCTGACCACTGTGGATACCTGACACGAATAAAACCAGATGTGTTTGCTCTTTGGCAACTGGCCTGTTTTCTGAGCACACGTCTTCAAGGTTTACCTGTGTTATAGCATGTGTCAGAACCTTCTTCCTTTGTTATGGCCAGTAATATTTCACTGTATATCAAGGGGAATGTGGGTTGCTTCCACCTTTTAGCTATTATGAATAATGCTGCTCGATCTTGGGTGGAGAAATACAGGTTTAAATCTTTGCTTTTGAGCCTTCTGGGTACATGAACAGAATTTACCCTACAGTTTTATAGTGGCAACAGTATTTTACAGTCTCACCAACAGTGCCCAAAGACTCTAATTTCCCTTCATCTAGGTCAACACATGCTGGTGTGTGGGTGTGGGTGTGGGTGTGGGTATACACGCACGTGTAGTGCGGTATGTGTGTGTGTTTCAACATAGCCAAGCTAATGCATATGAAGTAGTTTCCCAGAGTGATTCTTATTTGCATTTCTCTAAAGATTAGTGATGCATGTTTATCATCTTCATAGAAATGTCTATTTAAGTCCTTAGATCTCATCAGATTTTTGTTGTTGAATTATAGGAGTTCTTTATATATTGTGGCTATGAATCCTCTATCAGATACATGACTTGCAAATATTTTGTCCTATTTCATGATTGGCTTCTGCTCTGTAAATAGAATCCTTTAATGTACTGTTTTCTCTTATTTATAGAAAATCCAACATTCTTCTTCTGTTACCTATGTTTGTGGTGTCATATCTAAGAAATTATCTGGCCCAATGTTGTGACTCTTTTCTTTTCCCTTTTCTTCTGAAAGATTTTGATAGTTTTATCTCCTATGTTTAGGTCATTGGTCCAACAGGAGTTAATTTCAGTATAGATTTAAAATAAAGGCCATATAATCAAAATAGTTAGGATAGATATACAGCTCCATTCTCTTAATTCAATGAATAGAAAGGTTTGTTCTAATAGTGTTGAGACAGGATATCAGGTCTGCATCTTGTACAATGAGTGATCACTAAGACAACAATATGCAATGTATTAATTATTGAAAATGTGCTAGTAATCAGTTGTGAAACTGTCTCATTGCTATTTGTCTCTCACTAAAAGTATTTTTAAAAATAAATAAAATAGAGGCCAAAAGCTGGGCATGGTGGTACAATGCTATAATCCCAGCACTTGGGAGGCTGAGGCAGGAGGCTCACTGTGAGTTTGAGGCCAGCTTGGACTACATAGTGAAGCCATGTATTAAAAACAGCAGCCACATACACAGAGGCTTGTGTCTACCCAAGCCCACAAGTCTGTGTATTTTGTCTTTACGCTAGCGTCACCCTCTGTTGGTCAACATAACTCTGCAATAAGTTTCACAATCAGGAAGTATAAAATCACCAACTTTGTTCTTTTGCAATGTTGCTTCCAGCTTCATTGAGATCCCACATGAATCTTAGGATAGATTTTTCTCTCTCTGAAAGAAAATTCCCTTAAATTTTTTATAAGGATAGCATCAGATCACATGACTAAGTTTCTTACTCAGATGGAGAGAGAAGCTTTCATTCTTTGTAATAATGAATTTCTCTGCTCAGTTTGAGTATATGCCCTGACTTTAGATACTTCCTTTTGTTCAGTGTGAAAAAGAAATGCAGATTTTTACCATGAAGTTTTTCTGAGCCTAATACAGTGAGCAACAAGCAATTCTCAATGTATAAGAATGTTCAAGAGGAAGTTTTCCAAAATCTGCCCTGAGGACAAAGATGTTGATTTTTTTTGTTTGTTTGTTTCTTAAATCCCAGCATCTCAAAGCCTCCTGAACTGTAGACGTAGTTCTCTGAGTTGCGAGCCGGTGATGATGGCAACGTTTCACACAATCTCTGCACACATGAACCTTGCCAGGCTCCCCAGAGAGCCCAGAGATTTGGACACACAGCTGAGCAGCGTCCTCTGAAACTATGGTAGATACCAGACACAAAGAGAGGCTGAGCATGACTGATCACCGTCATGGGTCATTTTCTGTATAGTAAACTTCACTACCCACGCACAGTGCCAGGCCTGTCTTGTCTCCCAAGAGACCCTGTTGCCCAGGGTCAAAGGTCAACGTAGGGACAGCTGGGGGCTATTGGAGCCAATTTGCATGGTCTCCTTAGCACAGAAACACCAGCGTGTACCTGCCCCGGGCCTGTGTGCTGTGTGGACAACTAGACAGGGAAGATCCCAATAGAAAGTCCAGATTTAACACAAACCCCTCATTCCAAGTTGCCTTTGAATTACATGTGAGAGTTAGATGACAGGACAGAAAGTGTCCCAGGTGAGAAAGCTGTTGCTCCCCATGCCAGTTCCCATGTAGGTGCTTGGGGCAGGAATGTGCTCTGCAGCTTCCTGTTCCTTCTCTCAGGCAGGTTGAACAGATCTTGTACTAATGGCTCCTCTTGTTGCTACGGGCATACAAACCACTGAGATATGGCCAGAGCCTCAAGGAGCATGCCAGCCCTGGCACAGGAGGCTTGGCAAGACCAGGAGGATGCAGAGGTACCCACCTTCCTTGGTGCTGCCTGTCCTATTCCATCCTCTCACCAGGGCCGTGTGACTTCTGGCTGCATGAGGAGCTAGGTCACAGCTCATTGCATTTGCAGAGGTCTGCGGGGGACACTGAGACACAGCAGGACACGGTGCTATCCCAATCTTATCAGATGCAGGAGAGGACACAGTAGTCCACTCTACAGATTTGTGCCCCCCCTTTTTGGAGGGGAGATGGGGTCTTGTTTGGTAGTTCAGGCTGGCCTTGAACTCACTATGTGACCCAGGCTGGTCTCAAACTCATGGAGAGCCTCCTGCGTCAGCCTCCCGTGTACTAGGATTACAGGTATCTGCCACCATGCCTTGCTTAGCATCTCCACTTAAGAAAGACGCTGGGGTTTGTGCTTCTGGGAGAAATGAAAGTGCCATGAAACAAGCTTGAGATTGAGGACATTTTTCTGTCCTCCTTTGTCCCGATTAACCACCGTGATTGCTGAGCCCCAAACACCTGTGGCTCTTCTGCAGCTGGACCTCTAGGAAATCCAATTTCCCCAAATCGGAGCCGAAGAGAAAATAATGTTGTACATCCCATTTCCCATGCTAAAGACCTCCCCAAAAACACAATCAATATCCGTTTCCTCCAAACCAGCGTGGAGGAAACTATCATAAGTGGTAACAATTTTCAAGAGAAGTGGATCAGTGTCCAGAGGGAGAAGTCTGCTGAAATAGGACCAACTCTGTAAATCTGTGTTCTCTGACCCTTTGGGAAAATGCTCTTAAAAGCACCTGACCGCATCATTAGATTCAGCTGTGCACTACCCACAACCTTTATCTTTGGGTAAATCCTTGTGAAGTTTTCAGTTTCTTTTTCCATAAAGTAGGGATGAGTGCGCTGCAAAAGGTCAGGTGCAAAGCAGTCCGTGCACCCAGTGTAGGCTGCAAATGATAAGGAGGGCGGCAAGACACCAACGTGTCCCCTGGGTCCTGAGCCTTTCCATTTCAACTTCCTTCACTCCATCCTTGAAGCCCTCTGAAGCTGCTGCTCTTCCTGTTCATATTTTTACCCATAATTTATGGTATAGGTAGAGGTAGCTAATGGGCAGAGAAGTTAGTTTGTCTAACATGATACAGTTAGTAAGTAGCTCAGACAGTATCAGCACTAGGTAGACAATTTGACTTCTGACTAACACTTCTGACTGTGTGAGCTGCCCCACTGTCCCCACAAAGCTGTCCACAGATGTTGCAAACTATTATTACTCCTGTCTACTCTTTAGTGTGTGCAATTATATTATTTGTGTCCATATAAATCTATTGTGCGGATACACACAGAGAATTTGCAAAACTACTAGGTTGCCACTAAATCAAATTATTTCACTTACCAACACAGTGTTGGCAATACAACTCCGAAGTTTGTTGACTTCACATCTCTGCCCAAGAGTCAAGGAATTGCATATCAACCTTTCTCACAATCATCCCTAAGTTGTGCAAGGATGCTTTCCAGTCTTTTCCATACTAATTTATTTGTATCACTTTATTACTAATTTTTATTATTGCATCAACCTCTATTAGAATGATATTTATTAACTGGGATGTCATAAGATATGGTTGTAGGTTAAATATAAATAAAACTGAGCTCTGATTTTTCTAGGATTTAGGTTAGGAGACAGAAGAAAGTGTATTTCTCTTGACTTGTATCATTGAAGTCATGGGCTACTGTTCTTCCGTAAACTAAGGCACCAGCTTGCTGAGCCTGTCCTGCTGTAGGCAGCATGGTGAAAACTTCACA